TAGCACCAAGAAATGGATGTACAGTGATCCCTCGGTTAACGAATTACCTTCCATAAGATTCTTCACTTCGGTTAACGAATTCCTTACGAATTTTTCCCAACATGTTTTCGCCTGCATTTGGCTGCCCACCAGCTGTAGTATTAATCCGCCAATACAGAAATCGGTTTTAGGGCTTAAATTCCTTACCATTTTAATAAATATCAAGAAGGTTGTACTATTCAATAATTTTAAAAGTTTTATATTAATTTTTTTAGTCATTTTAACAATTATTGAACATAATTGAAGTATAGGAAGCTAGTTTTTTGCACGCCAAACAGCCACTCAACACACCAAGCTTGGTGTCAGTTTGTTTACCAGTTCAGAGGAAGGAACATCTTGTTTGAGACTCTTCAACATATACGCTATTTTTCTGTGTTTCCAGTCAAATTATTGGTCATTTTGAAATATATTTTACATATTGACAATAAATAATGCAGTGCAATGTGGATTTCAATAAAATAATCTTGAATTACACCAAGTGAAATAAAATTTTATAAGTGAAATGGCACCATGGGGTGACTTCTCTTCCACCCCCAATGCCTTCTCTTCTCCCTTCTCCTCCACCCCCATTCTAATTCCAATCATCATCAACCAGGAGCCTTCTACATGCACACCTCAAAGTAAGTGTACTTTACTGCATTTATTTTTAGTTTGTATGTAATTTTTGGTGAGCTGGAACCAATTACCCAAAAACCCATTGAAACAATAGTTTCGGTTAACAAATTTTTCGGTTAACGAGCAACCTTCTGGAACAAATTGTGCTCGTTAACAGAGGGACCACTGTACTATAACAGGTTATTATAGTGTGACCGACATCCACACAGACACAGTTTGGCTGTGTGAGTAAAGAAGGATGTACAGGTTGTACCTCTCTAGTCCGGCAACCTCGGGACCTGACCGGTGCCGGACCATGGGAATTGCCGGACCATGGAAATTCACCCTTTTCCTGGATAGATAGTGACTTGTGCTTATGCTTGGAAGCACTAGCACCACTTTCTCTGCATCATGGTCTCTTTGAAGACACATTGAAGGGTTAAATGTCGTATAGTAGCTTTTCAAATTTCGCTAGTTTTTAATTCTTAACGTATTTTATTGGAACACACAAAAAAATAAATAAAAAAAAATTTTGAAGGCAGAAACTTGAATTTCGACGGGATTGAACGGCCCGCCTACGTGCAGACGACGTGCATAATCGTGTAAACAACGTCATTTCTCTTATGTACAAAAGATTCATTATTGTTTATTACTGAATGTCTTTTTTATTGAATTAATGTTTATGTGTGCAAAATGAGCAATACAATTCATTAATAATACGTAGAATATTAAAACACATGAGGAAATGACACAGCATTGTTTTCGTTGATTACAAAGCCAGTGACTGACTGGTTCTACATATAAAACTGAAGAAAATAAGACCTTGGTTGTAGCTGTAGTAAAATTAATATGGTTGTTTTAAGTAATGTTATTTAATGTTAATAAATGAAACAATAGAAGTAGCTAACGATAATGGTAAAGAAAAAAGAGAGATCGCGTATGTAAGTGCGCACACGTGAAAACATATCGTCATTACTTTACATAAGAATATGAAAGCAACACTTATTTACTGTTCATATATATTTTAATTAATGTTTCTGATTTTTTTTTTTTTGAATTAATGTGTGTGTGTGCAAAATTAACAATTCAATTTATTAATAATACGTGGAATATTGGAGGAGACGAGACCGCTGCCGGCATTGTTTATGTTAAAGCTTACGAAACCAGTGACTGATTGGTTCTATATATAAAACTGAAGAAAATAAGACCCTGATTTTAGCTGTAGTAAAATTAATGTAAAAAAAATTAATATGGTTGTTTGAAGTACCTGTAATGTTATTTAATGTTAATAAACGGAACAATATAAGTAGCTAACCATTAATGGTAAAAAAAAAGTGAGATTGCGCGTATGTAAGTGCGCACATGTGAAAACATATCGTCATTACTCTACATAAGAATATGAAAGCAACACTTATTTACTGCTCATATATATTGAAGGGTGAAATGTTGTACTCTGTATAGACAAGCAGAGAGAGAGAGAGAGAGCAGCCGAACTGCCGGATGTAAACAAACCTTAATTTCCCGCGGCTTTGTTTTTTTGTTTTTTTTTTAAGGGGATTAGCCCACCCAGGCATAGGTCACTGACCCACATTGGGGCCTAGGGGGCAAAAATTTAATACTCCTGTAATAATAATTCAGATAAGTAAAAAAAAAAATAAATAAATAAAAAAAAAAAAAAATAAAGCTGCCTATCTACCTATTGCACAAACTAAAATCGTTCTGGACCAAGGGAGTTTCCGGACCACAGAATGCCGGACTAGAGAGGTACAACCTGTACTATAACGGGTTATTATAGTGTGACCGACATCCACACAGACACAGTTTGGCTGTGTGAGTAAAGAAGGATGTACTATAACGGGTTATTATAGTGTGACCGACATCCACACAGACACAGTTTGGCTGTGTGAGTAAAAAAGGATGTACTAGAACAGTTTATTATAGTGTGACCACTGCGCCTCCAACTCGGCCCATCAAATACCAACTCGGACCATCTCGGATAACCAACCTTTAACTCACTCATTCAAATGTATGTTTATAACAACGACATAAATAAAACATTTATTACCTTTACCAAGAGGAAGGGAGGAAAGCCCACAAATTTACATTTACTAACATAATTAACAAAAATAAACAAGCCAGCCAAGTTGGTTGTTGTCGACCTCTACACCTTGTCTGGCTCTTTCTCTTATCTTTCAGTTATTACAAGTTTTCATTATTAATACTATAATAAAAGTATTTTATTAATAAATATTACACAATACAAATAAATTATCCTTTAATTATAATGTTTTATTAATGATTAAATTCCCGCTAATAGATATATATTAACATTAAACTAAACTTAAGTCAGTGGTTTGAGAACCGTATAGCTTGACAGCATTTACAATTTTACTAAAATAAATTTAAAGAATAACATTTTATTTATTAATATTTTATTAATATATAACACTACAGTATATAGATTCAGTTAACGAACGACTCTGTGGAACCAATTGTGTTCGTTAATTGAGGGATCACTGAAGATATTTAAGAACCTTTAGCGACCTTCCCTGGTGACAACCTTAACCCCCCCCCCCCCATATTGGAGGCTAACGTGGGTCAACACTCCACTATCCACCTATATGAACCTTTATCAATGTGGAATAAACCACTTACGCAAGTCCATTATAAGAACAATTCACTGGACAATACTCACGGCAGAATTAGTAGGTATAACCTGTAATATTTGATCACTAACTTGAACTATGATCAATATTGTTGTGGAATGTTCCTGAAAGTACAGTAATAATTTACTTATTATACAGTACAGCATTAATTTATGGCAAGATTGCTGACAAAAAACTATATTTAAGTATAACTTAACCCAAATAAAATACCCCATTTGTTTGTAAAGTTTCGTGGCTTTTCAATGCAGTCAACACCCCAATAGTCTATATTTCTAAAATGTATATGAAGGCCTTTTAAAAAATACGGGCAAAACCTAAGTAATCTACTTTAAATATCTAATTGTTTCAAAAAGTCATAAGCACAATAACTAATTTGAGAACCCAGATTTAAAATCAGGTAAAGTACCTTTGTAGGATATTTAAACTATTTTTTTACCCCAAGTGCTGAAGACAAAGGTATTGGTCAGGCATATTTGACAAATATTTTGACAACGTGAAAACTAACTTCATACAGTAAAGATGGTCAACATATTTAAGACCATCCATAAAGGCCTTTTAAAACTTGCGGGCACAGCGTAATCTACTTAAAATATCTAATTATTTCAAAGGTCATTAACACAATTACTTGAATTTTTAAACGGTGATCCCAGATCCTTAATAAAAACTAAAACCACAAAGATATACACTGTACTGTACCTTATGTTATAGCAGAAAGTTTCCAATGTGGTGCAGCAAGAGACCCGTTAACCAAAACAAACCTTCGTCTTGTGGTCATTGTGGCCCACATCTTACATCTTCACGTCACAGTCCTGGAATGAATAACATTTTAACAACTAATAAATTAAATACTCTAGGCAATAATATTATATAATATGTATACAGTACTGTACAGTATTATATTATACAGGAACTCATTAAATCTTCAAACATTTAAATACAATATTATGGTTAAATTAAGAAATTTTCATAAAACTTATTAAAAAAAATAAAGAAACACTTTAGAAAATCTTACCTCGATGAATGACACGAGGAACTTCATTGACCATGATTAGCAGGGCAGCAATATGATAGTTGTCTTAACACTACAGTAACAACCAATTGGAGCCATCACCTGTAAACAAAATAAAGAATAAAATGTATAAAGACAAAAACAATTGTATAAAAGCCAATAATGTAAATACTGTGGTATTGTATTTCTAACTCCCATGATAAGACAAAACTTGACTTCACCACAAGTTATCTCTGGTCAACAACTTTCCTAATACCACTTACTAGTCACTAATGGACAACACCTGGTAAATACACAAGTTATATCCCACTGCCATAAGGGTATAATTATCTATAAATGCCAATATTGTGAAGTGTCTTGTGATTTTTCCTTTCCCAGAGAATTAAAATACCATCGAAAACATGATTTGGTTAGGTTAGGTTTGAATCCCACCAAATTTATATTTTCCCCGAGAATTAAAACCTCACCATCGGACACCTGATTTGGTTAGGTTAGGATCCCACCAAATACAGTGACAAAAATGTAAATTTCTTGTCAAAAAGTAAACTGAAATTTTACAGTAAAGTTCCCAAAATGTCTCAAAAGCTAATTTTTTTACAACAAACTGTAATTTAACCATAAATAAAATGTTCAACATTCTTATAACCAAATTTTTTTACATCAATTAAATAAAAAAATCTTTCCCCCCCCCCCAAAAAAATGAACCAAAATCCCACTTTGGTTAATATATAGGACTAACCAGCCAGGGCTGCATAGTGCCGATGCTGTTGTATCATCTCACGTACAGAAAATGTCTCAAATATCACCGTATAGTAAGTTTTTTCTGTTTAATATACCGGGGAAGTTAGGTTAGGTAGGTTTGTTTGGTTAGGTCTGTCCTTCATAACCACAAATGTTATGTAGCGTTTATTTAAAAAACATCCATTTTACTAACATTACCACAAACAGTGTCCACTAAAATATAACAAAAGTAACTTGACAAAATTATCATAAAATTATCCTAAAAGTAATAAACTACAGAAAAGTAACAATTCCCAAACGTAAGTGACGTAAACTCCACAAGTAACAAAACTTATAAAACCTAAAAGTAACAAATACTCAACACGAAAGTAATAAAATACCTCAAACTATTTCCTTAACATTGTTCCATTGACAATTTCCTCCAGTAGTTTACATTATTAAGCAGCACCAGTTATTGGTCCACTTACCTTCACCGTCTCCGTTAATTTATACCTACACTACACACCTGCACCATAAACACACTATATACCTGCACCATATACCTAAACTATACACCTGCACCACAAACACACTATACACATACACAACACACCTGCACCATAAACACACTATATACCTGCACCATATACCTAAACTATACACCTGCACCACAAACATACACTATACACATACACCACACACCTGCACAATAAACACACTATATACCTGCACCATAAACACACTATATACCTGCATCATATACCTACACACCTGCACCACAAACATACACGAAACCTGTACATCACCGAGGTCAGCTCGTCAAACTGTGGGGCGAATTTGGTAGTGGACGAAGATCGATTTGGCGATGGGCCTAAGTTGGAGTTCAACCAGTGTGACCGACAAAACCACTAAGACACTGTACAAGACGAGTGTTACCTGTCGGTACACACAACCACTTTACTTACTTACTGTACTGTTTCTAGTTAACACGGCCATACATACACACGGCCATACATACATACACATGTACATAATGTTAACTTACCACGAGGGAGGGAGGAAGGCCCACAAATTAACATTTACTAACAAAATTAACAAAAATAAACAAGACGCACGTTGATTGTTGTGACCTGCTACACCTTGTCCAATTCTCTATCTTAACTTTCAGTAACTACAATTTTTCATTATTAATACAATAGTAAAAGTATTTAATTTGCAAATATTACATAACATAAATAAATTATACTTGAATTATAATGTTTTATTATTGATTAAATTCCCGCTAATAGATATATATATATATATATATATATATATATATATATATATATATATATATATATATATATATATATATATATATATATATATATATTAATAATAATAAACTAAACTTAAGTCAGTGGCTTGAGAACCGAATGGCTTGAACTCATTTACAATTTCACTAAAATAAATTTAAGCAATAACATTTTGTGTTTAACTATTTTAAGTTTATTTATTAATATTTTATTAATATTTAACACTATTTATACTGGAAGCTTACAACACCATAACAAACTCGCTATTTTAAGTATTCATTATTCATAATAATATTATTAACGGTAAATATTAGTCTCAAACTACATAATTATTCAATAATTATTAAGCAATAATTACAGATTATATAAAAAGTTAATAATTATCAACAACAAATTATATTATTAATATATCAATTTCAATTTCAAATGTTTATTCCTTGATAGAGGAAGCGGGATCCTAGTTATAATGAGACAAAATCTCACCTGAAGAGGTAAGCTAGGAGTTTATAGTAGTTGAGTATTGTAAGGTTTCGTGATATTATGTTGTCTAGCACTCAGGATGGATGGAAACTCTAAGGTGGTGGTTTTCTTATATAATATAAGTTACATGGTAGACAGTCTGGTGCTGGAGATGGCATGTGGTGAGGAGCTGCTCAGTAGACACGTTCGGTGAGTAGCGTGTTGAAGGAGGTAGATGTGCAGGAGCTTCGTTAGAGAAGATGTTGCCTGTTGCTGGCCTCCAGGCTGAATGAGAACGGGACAGCGAGGAGCTTGCTTGGAGGAGATGTTGCATGTTCAGGAACCGAGAGCAGAATGAGAGAGCTGGTTGGTGAGGACGCTCAGAGAAGGACAGCTGGTGCGTCGCCATGCTCGCCGGCGGGAGCGAGGACCGCCAGGCAGCGACGGAGGAGGAGGTGTTGCGTGTTCAAGAAGAGAGGCCAGAATGAATCTCAATGGAGAGACAGAGCTTATATACACAGCAGCCGTGAGTCACCCGTGAGTCATCCGTGGGAAACCCTGTTCTTTTGACTCCGTTGCTAGGATACTGTGGCATCTGATGACGCCCCCCCCTTGGGCCGCTCGTTTGGTTGCTAGGGAAGACGTAGCAGGTGGTATGCGGCTACGCAGTTGTAGGGGAGACATCCACTACAATACTCCCCCTTCCCTCCAGGCGGTGTAGGAGACTTGTTGTCTGTAGAGTTGCTTAGCACATGTGAGGCAGAACGGGCGGTGCATGCCTCATGTGAGACAACGGCGATGGCGTGGATGAGCCGGTCGCTGGATACAACTGTCTATATACACACTATCTGTGGGAGAAGAGAGGGAGAAAAGGGGTGTGTGGAGGCGATGAATGTTGTGCTTCCCTCATGACAGGTACAGAGTCGTCAGATGCGCCTGCTGGGGTGTGTGGGCCTGGGTCAGGAGCAGGGGCCGCGTCAGCAGAAGCGGATGAGGGCTCATGACAGCAGCTGGGTCCACAACAGCAGCAGGGTGCAGGACATTAGCAGGAAGTACCTGAGGGAGAAAAAGGGTGTGTGGAGGCGATGAATGTTGTGCTTCCCTCACGGCAGGTACTGAGTCGTCAGATGCGCCTGCTGGGGTGTGTGTGGGCCTGGGTCAGGAGCAGGGGCTGCGTCAGCAGAAGCGGATAAGGGCTCGTGACAGCAGCTGGGTCCACAACAGCAGCAGGGTGCAGGACATTAGCACGGAGTACCTGAGGGAGAAAAGAAGGGTGTGTGGGTCCGCACTCAGGAACAGAGGCCGCGTCAGGGGCGGCAGGGGTTACTGCTGGGCCGGGGTCGGCGTCTGAGACAGGACGGGTGTGCTGGGGTCGATAGAATGTGGTGCCTGGGGCAGGGAGAGGAGCTGGTGTCTGCTTAGAATAGCAGAGCTGCTTCTGTGTGGATAAGCCAGTCTTCCATGCTGCTTGAAGACTGGGAGCGTGATCAGTTTCTCCTCCATCCTGTGTGAGTGCGAATCTCCGGGGGTCACCATTTGTAGGGTTTTGTGATATTATGTTGTCTAGCACTCAGGATGGATGGAGACTCTAAGGTGGTGGTTTTCTTATATGATATAAGTTATATGGTAGACAGTCTGGTGCTGGAGATGCTGTGTGGTGAGAAGCTGCTCAGTAGACATGTTCGGTGAGTAGCGTGTTGAAGGAGGTAGATGTGCAGGAGCTTCGTTAGAGAAGATGTTGCCTGTTGCTGGCCTCCAGGTTGAATGAGAACGGGACAGCGAGGAGCTTGCTGGGAGGAGGCGTTGCGTGTTCAGGAACCGAGAGCAGAATGAGAGAGCTGGTTGGTGAGGACGCTCAGAGAAGGACAGCTGGTGGGTCGCCATGCTCACCAGCGGGAGAGAGGACCGCCAGGCAGCAGCGGAGGAGGAGGTGTTGCGTGTTCAAGAAGAGAGGCCAGAATGAATCTCAATGGAGAGACAGAGCTTATATACACAGCAGCCGTGAGTCACCCGTGAGTCACCCGTGGGAAACCCCGGTCTTTTGACTCCGTTGCTAGGATACTGTGGCATCTGGTGACGCAACCCCCTGGGCCGCTCGTTTGGTTGCTAGGGAAGACGTAGCAGGTGGCATGCGGCTACGCAGTTGTAGGGGAGACGTCCACTACAGTATTATAGCGAGAGGAAATGGTAGCGTGTCTCGAGGGTGTGATGTTAACACTGTCTATTAACACAGGCACAGTACAAGTGTAGTATATAAAACACCAATGCGTGTTACAGCTTTATTTCACTAGTTCAATAGGGGGGATTAATGGGAGGGGTTCGTACACAATTTATGGTAGACTATGGTATTCTCATATAACCTAACCTCACACTTAGAATGGGCACTTCACTAAATCGATTGCTGGGAGGTTCGGGATCACCGCACTCCTACCGTCTACACAGCCAGCACTTACTGTTACACTTTGAGTTGACAGCACTCTGTCGACGGACCCGGCTGAGACTTCATTACACTTAGTGGCGGGCTTCTGTCGAGTGGGACTGGGGACGTAGTAGCTGGCCCTTCTTGGTTACATGACACACTCTCGTGAGGGAGGACTAGGACGTCCTATATATTGGAAGACCAGCCGTCAGGTTGAGCTGATCGGGGGAGGCGGCGAAGGGTCTCCTTACATTTGCCCTCGCTAATGTAGGGTCAGGTCTGGACTTTTTCTGAGACTATAAGTTGTTGTATATTCTGGAGAAATCTTCAGATGAATGCTTGCCTGTTAACATCGTTGGTGGGGCCGTGTGACATGAGAGGCTCTGGTTGATTTGTGGCCCCTTGACTTGGGCTCGAGGGTTACATTTTACCTGGTTAATGTGAGGATAGGTCTGGGCCTTGTCTGAGATGTACTGTAGGTCCTTTGTGTAAATTGGGGAAGGACCGGCAGGTGGCTCCTTAGCTCACTGTGTGTCTTACATATTTGTTGGGGCCGTGTGACATGTGGAGGGGAGCCTGGTTGATTTGTAACCCTTGGGCAGCCGCGAGGGTTACCCTTACACTTGACCCCCCTAATGTCGGGTCAGGTCTGGACTGTTTCTGAGATGTAAGCTGTGGTCTGACAACCCATCACTACATAGTGCTGTCACTAGGTACCCCTGTACAATGACACCAGAAGCATCTGATAAGTGTGACAAGTATATACAGTATAAATATTATAAAGGGGCTTGCTAAAGCCTAAGGAAGGAAGGATATCCTTTTAACACACAATCAATGTTATTTACAAAATATCTGGCCAGTATGGGGAGGATCATCGTGTCTCCGTCAGGGGGTCGTGGAGTGGTGGTCCAGCAGGCGTCACGGAAGCATTGTGTGTGGGGACATCTTAGGAGGTAGTGGATAAGGGTGCTGCTGTCGGGTCTTCTGCATAATGCACAAGAGCGTTGCTCAGGGGATGCGGGGATACCAATCTCCCAAGCAAAGTCATACCCAATGATGATTCGGGCAGCAATCACGTCCCCTTTCCGCGACCCTTTCCCATAGATGCAGGAAGTTTACGGAGGACATCGTACCAGGTGGGCGGGGACTCCAGGGGGATGGCTGCTTCCCGAGCTTCTCTCTGTTTGCGGCGAATTTGGGTCCTATGCATATTATTATTGATTAAGTCCTTCTTGAATGATTTCGTCCTGGGTTCATGTCCTGTTGGCCTGAGACACACATGAGTAGGGTGTTTGAGTACCTCTCACTATCATATCCTGTTGGTCTGAGACACACATGAGTAGGGTGTTTGAGTACCTCTCACTATCATGTCCTGTTGGCCTGAGACACACATGAGTAGGGTGTTTGAGTACCTCTCACTATCATGTCCTCT